GTCTTCAAGGATACAAACAGCTGTCATCCTGGTCTAACAGTCAGCTATGCCTAGTGTAGCTGATCCAGTAGATAGGATGAAATGGATGTTCTCAGGGGCTGTTGTCTGAAAGAATAGGCCCCTACCATTCCTGAGCCTTCAGGGGCCCAATCTTGAAGGACAACAGTGCCAGGTGTCTGGCCCCAACCTAGAACTCCTGTCTGCAAGTGTAAAGCAAGGAAGCCTGATTCCCAAGTGCATGCCTAGTTCCCAAATGCACCCCAGGGATTCCCCTGCAAATACAGAGCATTGAACTAAGTTTGCCTGCTCCTTGCCTGCAGATGTGCACCCTAGGAATTCCCTGGGGTATAGGGATGTAGCCCCAAGAGTTCCATGATCTGCACCTATGTGCACGCTCTAAGTCAGGACCAGGCACTTTAGACCCATTGTCCTACAGGATTGGGCCCCCAAAGCTATGAGAGTGCCTACCTACAGCAGCTAGAGAGCACAGGCAGCGCTAGGCTGCCCACGCTTTCATGCCATAACCAAATAGACATCCATCATGAAAAGGCAACACCATGCCTCCAGCATACAGGTGAATGCTGTAAACTGAACAGATGCTCTTTCTCAGCTCCAAAAAAAATATTTTCTGCAGAAGTTTTCATAGAAACTGGTCCATTCCCACAACAAGTTTTGGTTTCCGTGTATCAGGACATTCTAATGGAAAACCATTTCATGGGAAACTTCTCAAGCGACTTTAGTCCTACAGGAAAAACAGTCCTCTAGTACATTGGATAAATTTTTGGTCTTCTGGGAAGATCAGTAGGTACTTATACTGTTAAAGACATTCATACTTCATGGAACAAAGGGGCAGAATTAAAGCTCCATGGACAGGCTTAATTTTAGTATTTTCTGACTTCTAAAATCCTGATTTGGCAAGTTGGACAATATTTTCGAACATAGTTTTTAGTATGTAATAATACAGTATGTATTCATCGATTCAGTTAGACTCGGTAGACTGGGATGTATACACTACAGAAGGGTTTGGAGACTCAGACCATGATTAGCATGTTAAAAGGAAACACGCAAACTAAATTACTAAATGAAACAATGCTCAGTGATCAAGCCAGAGCTGATGTCTGAGTGAAGGCACCTGCCCTTTAGCTATCTGAAGAGCAGCCCAAGTAAGAGCACTCTTATTCTAAGACAGTTTTCCTCTGATGTGAGTTGTCGCTAGAGAATTGGAAGCTGTGACTTTTCAGGTGGAGAAACAGGTTCTTTATAGCCAGAGAAGAGTGCCTGTCCAAAAGGATAGAGTTAAACAATGTGGAAGCCTCTGTTGGGTTTTGCTGGTGGTTGGCCTACTATTTTAGCCCTATTTATGATCTTGTTGCTCCATTTTTTCTTTGCCATGGTTCCAATCAGATACAGCAGCCTGCAGGAAGAGATGACATTGAAGGAGAAATGGACTTTAAACTGGAATCTTGGATAGCGGGAGCAAAGAATACCTTGTTTTTTAAACTGTTGTAGACATTTGGGGTAATCATTATATTGCATTGGATATCCCCTCAGATCCCATGGGTTATTGCATTTTAAAACATTACTGACTGTAACTTTAAAATATAACAAAAAGAGAACCCCAGAATTTAAATCTGAAAGGGAAAAAAATCACCAGAATTTGGATTTAAAGGAA